CTTTTTGTAAGGTGAGCCAACCAATTGGGAGTAGCACACAGAATTGTGCCCTGAGGCAACCAATTCCCACGCCTGGGAGAATTTTGGCAGGTGCCTAGAGTATTTTTCACCTCCGTTGGTTTGGGATTTCACTCCTGAGCACATGTGGAATCCTGTTGAATTGGCAGACCACCTGAAGGAAGGATGCCTTGCACGTACCATAAAGACACAACTTCCAGCACTGTGTTGGGGCCTGGGGTAGGCTTATGCCTATGCTCAAAGAAACAAGAGGATCTGAGGACACACAGACAGATACTGTGAGGGTCTTTGGGTCTAAGGACACACAGACAGATACTGTGAGGGTCTTTGGGTCTAAGGACACACAGACAGATACTGTGAGGGTCTTTGGGTCTGAGGACACACAAGCAGACACTGTGGATAAGTCAGAAGTCCAACCCTCACCCACAACACTTCTTCCTACAGTCAAGAAGAAACAATGGAAGCATAGGTCAACCCAGTTAGTAAAGGAGATAGAAGCTCCTCCTGAGGGAGAGCAGGGAGAAAAAACACATGGACTGGCCAGAAGGCAGACATTTTGAAGCATCACCCAAGGAGGTGACTCATGCCAAAGAGGCCCCACTATATCATAAATTACCAGAAAATTAGAAACAATGTGCTCTATTTACTGATGGGTCTTGTCATACAGTGGGAAAAACATCAGAAGTGGAAAGCTGCTGCCTGGAGTCCCACAAGACAAGTCACAGAAACTGTCATAGGCAAAGGCAAATTGAGTCAGTTGGCAGAAGTGAAAGCCATACAGCTGGCCCTAGACGTTTCCAAAAGATAAAAGTGGCCAGTACTCTATCTCTACACTGACTCACGGATGGCAGAAAATGCCCTGTGGGGATGGCTACACCAACAGAAGCTGACTAACTGGCTGCACGGTGGTAAGCCCATCAGGGCTGCTGCATTGTGGCAAGGCATTGCTGCCAGGGCGGAGCAGCAGTGTTGTAAAAGCATGTTACATAGATACTCATATGCCCAAGAGTCATGCCACCAAAGAACATGGAAACAAGAAGCAGGTGGACTAGGCTGCCAGAACTGAAATGGCTAAGTTAGACCTGGGCTGGGAACATAAGGGCAAGCTATTCATAGCTTAGTGACACAGCAGGACACCTAGGAAGAGATGCAGTGTATAGATGGGCTCATGATCGAGGGGTGGACCTGACCACTGAAGCCATCGAACAGGTTATCCATGAACACGAAACATGCACCATGATCAAACAAGTCAAGTGGGTAAAGCTTCTCTGATGTGGAGAACAGTGGCTGGGAAAGACAGTGTGGGTTGCTTCTCTCTCAGGAAAAGGCAAACTCACTCATGAGGTTCCTTTTGCTCAAGGGCCAGGGTGCAGTCGGTGAGTAACACAGCAGGATGGGGAAACCCAGTGTGTACCTCAAGGAGATTTATTTACCTTTGGGGTAAAATAATCCATGATTTGCCTTGTATGTCATAGCTGTATGTCAAAGTACTAGAGCAGGAGCCACTAAAACTAACTGAGGATCAGCCTTGTAAAGAACCCAGCAAGGCACAACTGGTTTCATGCCCAACAACCCAACCAAACACACCAGCTCCTATTAAAGCTCTACTTGTCCTTTTTTTTTGATCTTTTCCAAATTATCTCCACTTCTCTTTATTCAAAGTACACGAGTTCTCTCTTGGAACATGCACTAGGCACTAACTAGAGCAGCAAGATAACTATAGTAATTTCAGGTTTACCCTACTGTAAATTAGAAGAGCAGGTTCATGTGTCTGATTTGACTGGAACGTAGAGTCTTTTCTCACACACTTACAATGTTATAGCAATGTCACTAAGATGAAACAACAGATTGTAGAATTATAAAAATATGTAAATTATCATAGTGTCAGTGTTATGACATAGCACTGGATTATCAATAAAATATTTAGTGTCTTGCCCGCTCACAGCTCTTACCTTGTTCACAGGAAATAAAAATGTTTTTTGCAGAGTACTTTATTTCAAAATCTATTAGCAGAGCTTGTTACTGAAAAATTGGGGAACTTATCTCAGAAGACTGAGAAAAGGAGAAGATAGATTAATGATCATATTTGCAATTATATCAACTCAAAAAAATATCAAGGTCTTGCTCACACTTCAAAACATGGAGTTTGTCTGTTGGTACCAGAATGATCCTTCCCCCTGTGGTACAAGACATTTTGTGAATCGGTAAGCGTTGGTCATCTTTTTATACCTTTCTCCTCTCTTATACCAGCTATCACATGTTCAAATAGCTGACACCGATCCGTTTTGGATACTTACTGAAAACACTGAAGACAAACTTCCTTTACATTGCAGTTACATTCTGAAAAGTGATTATTTCAAATGGTAAAGTACTAGCTATAAAAATCTATTCTGAGATAATACCCTGTGTGCATTGCTGAGGTTTTCTACTAAAAAGAAAATGGGGAAACAAAAAACAAACAAACAAAAAAAACCCATAAACTATTAATGTTTTTACTAACACAAAAAAACCAGTATGGTTATGAGCATGACATTGAGTCATGGCTCATACACCATATGCTTGTAAACCTCTATTGAAATAACAAGAACAAAATAAAAACTAAACCTATCTTGCTTTGCCTTGTCTACTTCATACATTTAGAGGAACAGCAATGGGTCTGACCAGTTTGTGTTTTAAGTCAGTCAGTCTGCATTGTCAGTAAGAATGTGTAAGACAGAATAAGTACATAGGCAGTTTCCTGGTGAGACTGTACAACTGGCAGGCAGAAAAAACAGACAGTGTTAATAGAACAAATTGGATTAGAAATTGCCTGGACACAAATCAGGAATGATAAACTACAATTTTCAGTAACTCAACTAACAGAAAACTCTGTGGGTATTTTTTCAGTTTAAGTTATTCAGTAGTGATTTTTTGGAGTTATTTATGTCAAGATAAAGATGTTAAAATACTCACTGTGGAAATGACAAAGAGAGACAAGATGTGCAATGTCTTCTGACTTCATCTAATTGTGATATTTTAACCCCCTTTCCAGCTCTGACCTCCTTTGCTTCCTGCCTAATGTTTCACCGCCACTCTATTACCTAAGAACTTCATTAACTAATGCAGCAGGCTAACTGATGAATGTTGGAGATACTGCACATACTGCTTCCTTCATCCTAGAAAATACAGTTTCTTTCAAAGTATGTTTGCTCTTTAAAGATGTTCATGCAGACAGTGAGGTCTAGTAATAGGATTAACTCTGCTCACCCAAAACGTCTATCAGCTGAGCAGACAGATTAACGAGATCATGTCACATGTTGCATGGCATCTTCTTCCTCACTAATTCCAAACAGCAATTTCTAAGACTGGTTTAAAACCTGCTGTAAAGACAAGCTAAAAGGGTAGAAACAACAGCTTAAAACATTGTATTTCCCAGGCAAACTAAAATCACACAGAACAATGTAAATGCTATTATTTGTGAGGGACTGCTCCATAAGTGAGGGTCAAAATCCTTTCTATGTCCCAGATCCATTTCTTTAACTGACATTTCTTACCTGGGGGTAGGAAGATATGAGTTATACTACTGAAGTAAACAAATAAGGCCAATACAGAGCATACGTGAGGGATGTTAAATAGCTTATTTCAGGAAGCCAGTTAGCTGCTGCATCATACCCCATCTGCTTCTTGTAGGGGATCCTAAATCACTTCTTATCTGCTTCCTACATTAAGCTAACAATTGCATTGCAGTTGACAGGTTCTCAGGAGACCTGAATGATCCATCAGCCAAAAGCAGCTTTGTTACAGCACTGGTGAGTCTGGCAGGGACTAAGTTAGAACCAGCTTGGATGTGTCTTCGCCACACTGTAGTCAGAAACCCATACAATACCCATATTTACTCTGGTCCACCTATTATAGCCACGGAGACCCTCTTCCCCATTTCATTCTCCTGCTGAATTCACAGACAAACTTTACCCAATCACCTCCTGATGCAGCCAGGGTGGCATATCAAACCTCCCTTTCTCCCACCAGCTAGTCTAACAGGTACCTCAAACCTGCCTCCTAAAGGATGTGCAAGTCACACGTTGTTTTTTGTTTTTTTGTTTTTTGTTTTTTTTTCAGGTATGAAAACATGCATCAAGGCAAAGAGATCCCAGTTGTGGTCTTTCTACATTTTGTTCAAAGATGAGTTAAAGTTCTGGGAAGACTCCTCCAGCCTACAACAGTGCCCAAGACTTAGAGCTGCAGTGAACCATTCTGACTAAGCAGGAAGGTAAAACATTCATATGGTGCCATTCTTAGCATATTAAAGGCTACCACTTCAGCTTGCACTAGTGGATGGAGAAGTTATTGCAGCTTATACCACCAGAGAAACCAACCCACCCATCAATCTGTTGTCCGATTCACAGACTCTCATGCTTAGCAGTCTTTCAACAGAGGAAGACAAGTCTCAAGCTGCATTGCTTTAGGGAAAAATAAAATTATTCTACAATTCAAATAGCAAATAGTTTTAATTTATCCTTGAGACTTTGATTGCATAAAGGCTCTCTGAGCATAAATGAAATTTACACTATGACAGCACCAGAGAAGGAGCATAATTACAATGACAATATAACTCAATCTAGCCAATGTTCTCATTTACTGTGCCAAAGACATCCTTCTGAAATTTTATGTTTGGACTAGACACAAGTACTAAGTAAACCATAAAACCCCAGCTTATAGTGGCCTCACAACGGACTTTATCAGCAACAGGTTGTACATTAAGCATGTGACATTAAAAATTCTTGCATTCGTGGAGGGAATCCACTAGCTGAAGACAACCTTAGGATTTACAGATGAATGATCAGAATTTTCACTTTACGATCATTACCTGATCCTGTTGCCCCAAACTGTCATCATTAATTCAGATACTACTAGAGAGAGCTCAACAGCAAATTCCAGCTTTTTAAATGGCCAACAGGGTATGCTAAAGGTATCGTCCTTTGACGACCACAACAACTACTTACTCCACAGTACCGATCATCACTGAATATTTGTGGTGGCAGTGGGTTGCCTTGTGCGGGCTGCCTATCCTCAGGAATATTTTTATACATCCATTGTCTTTTCTCCTCTGACATCGTGATATCCACTTCTTCAAACTCTATGCGATTGGCTTCCAGAAACCTCACCACATCTTGTTGCCTCTTCTTTATCTAGACGAAAGAAAGAAAACAAAACCCAATTCTCAGAGCAAGTCCACCATAACCCAGACATGCTTACAAACCTCAGAACATTCCTTCATGGAATAGGATGGGAAGTCACAAACTCAGGAAGACAAAGGAGAAACTATTTTTTCAGCTTTAAATTCATAAAAGTTAAACACTGTTGTTTCTTTACAAGTTGGCAAAGGTTATACGTCTTCACCTCATTTCTAGAAGTCTGTCTCTTTAGATTAACTGTATGAATTTCAGTCTTTACCCTCTAAAGATGTTTTTTTTTAAAAAAAAAAAAGAAAAAACAACAAAAACCTGCATGAGACTCTTCAGAAGTAGGCGTTAAAAGAGGCAGCTGGTTTTCAGTCGTTAGGGACTACATTCTTTAAGTATACAGGCACCTAGAAATGCAAGGTAAGCAATCTGGCAAGTCCCAGAAGAATCTACCCCTATAAGTGTTCATTGAGATAAACATGTCAGTACATCTGAAAAAAAAACACGCCAGCTACACACATTTTTGTTTTGATAGACACCTACACATCTTTTAAAATGCAGCTCAACAGTTCCCTGAGCAAGGCTTGTTGAATCTTTAATTAAGAGTGTCTGTCTGCATAATACACATGCCTAAAAATAAGCATGATCTCATCTCTTGAAAATTAACTTCACTGCAAAAAAAAATGCATGAGGTTTATATAAAATATATGGGGTTTCTGTCCCTCAAAGAGATTATCATCTTCACACAAAAGCCTAACAGAGGCAGAACACTGGCAGTTTTCAGTTCATTGTAGCTAAGATCAACCCTTAACAGCTAGCTGGGCTTCAAGCAGATACACTCAGGCGAAGACTACTACTGCCTCAAATAGGACTTTATAACAAGATAGCAGCCTTTGAAATTAAAGTCTGTAGACCAAGGAAAGGTACCTGGGCTCATTTAGCTAGGTCTGCTCTGCATTCTCTTCAGTCCATGCTGTACTTTTTGCATCTACTTAATGAAATGAATTATTTCAGAAAGAAACTATAAATTATATGCTGTATTTTTTACAGCTATCATCAACAGTGCTATCTGAAGAAAAAAAAATACAGTTTTAATAACACTACAGTGTTCCTGGAGTGTCAGATCCACGCAGTTGCTGACTGGCATAAAGCCCAGGTGGATGAATCATGCCTGTGGGTATCATATGACCTAGATACTATTTGGAAATCAGAGGATTTTTAAAGTGCATGTACTAGTTGTTCTTGTCACACAACCCAGTCTGTCTATCTAAATCCACCACAAAAATACATAACTTTTAGTGGTAATGCTGATGGAATCATCGTTTCCTTGAAATAAGAGGGTAGCGACCCCAAGAAACTGCAAAAACAAAGCTCTTAAATGATTACTGTCTTTCTTAAGAAGTGGACTGCATAGTACATTTGCATCCCAGTATCTTATTCTTTTTCCTTTTCTTGCATATATTGGTGGGATTTTTTAGGCATATGTGAAAGGATGATTTTTTTATATAGAAGGCAGCTCCTAAAATTGTGTGAAAATAATGCATTATCAACAACAGCAAAATTCCTGCACCATCATCACTACTGGTACCAAAGATAATATGCTATCTCCCTAAAAACTGCAAAGACAAATTGTGTTGCCAATGTAGAAAGACAAAAGTATTTTCCTCTGTCTTCCACAAAAAAAAAAGCTGGAAGTGAAGTCCAAAAGAGACAGGCACTGAGATTTTCTTAACATGAATATTAAGTATATCATAGAATCATAAAATGGTTTGTGTTGGGAGAGACCTTAAAGATCACCTAGTTCCACCCCCCTGCCATGGGCAGGGACACCTTCCACTAGACCAGGTTGCTCAAAGCCCCGTCCAGCCTGGCCTTGAACCCTTCCAGGGAGGGGGCAGCCACAGCTGCTCTGGGCATCTTGTGCCAGCGCCTCACCACCCTCACAGGGAAGAATTTCTTCCTAATATCTAATCTAAATCGACCCTCTTTCAATTTAAAGCCATTACCTCTTGTTCTATCACTACATGCCCTTGTAGAAAGGCCCCCTCTGGTTTTCCTGTAGGTCCCCTTTAAGTACTAGAAGGCATCTATAAGGTCTCCCTGGAGCCTTCTCTTCTCCAGGCTGAACAACCCCAACTCTCTCAGCCTGGCCTCACCGGGGAGATGCTCCAGCCCCTTGATCATCTTCATGGCCCTCCTCTGGACATGCTCCAACAGGTCCACGTCCTTTTGTTCAAACAGAAATGAGACTTCTAAAACGATGTGTGGGAGAGGTAATTTCCTTATAGTGGAATACTGCTAAAACCAACATGAATTCCCTCCTGCATTGGTCAGAGCAACTAGCAAATGACATAGTGCCTGGGTGAGCCCTCTGGCCCTCAGGCCAAATGGCATAATCTGGCCATGTCTATTAAATCTTCACTCTATCAGAGTGGCTGCATGCAAACTGTACATGGAGAATGATCTTCAGCATGCTGCAACATCTAAATCATGGCCACAAACTGTTTATGAGACTGTAAGCCAGACTTGGCCAAAGCTGGCTGTGCCAGCAACTATGCTTCCAATAGTTTCACAGTACCAGAGTGCTCTGTTGCTCAGGCCCAGGCCATGTACCAGTACACATGTATCTACATGTACCCATTTTCATCTGTTGTCTTCCAGCAATCTGTACACCGGGCACAAGTTTAACTGCAACTTAATCAGATCCCTAATATTTTACTGTTCACACCCTGAGAATTCTCCCACAAACCCACATTTCCTAATCTTTCTTTTTTATTTTTATAAAACTAATTAAGATGTTGAAGTGAAATAAATTGTGGGGTTTGGTTTTTTTTTTTTTAGCCAGAAGCCTTGCAATTCTCCATGACATCTGCATGAGTTATCAGCTGTGGATGTGCCAGCTGCATAATTTTAAACAAAATGCCCTGAAAATTTTTAACCAAAAATGTAGCATCTTCTCCTCCCCCAAGTGATTTGATTCAAGCCTGTAAACTGAAACAAGAGCAGTAGTTACATTTAAAATCCTATTAAATTATGCCTTGTTGTTTAAGATGGATGCTCAGAGCATCTGCCACAACAGAAGCCAGCTGATTATTCCCCAAGAAAACCACAGGACCTTTGTCTTCCTCTACAACTGGATCTGTGCCGCAGGAGTGCGTCAGCCTCACAATCCTGCCTGCAGCTCTCATCTGTGGCCACTCTGAACTCTAAAAACTTCCAGCATTCAACCACATGAAACACTGAGCAAAGACAACACAGTGCGAAGAGCAGTGTTGGTTCATCCTTCCTCACTGGCCCACGCAGAGGATCCGAGCTCCTGTTGGGAGCACAGTGGAGAAAAATACATTCTCATTTGACAAACTATAGAGGTGGATACTTTAGTTCTCTTTGTGAAACTTAGACTTAAACCTTACTGCTTCCAAGGTTTCCAGAGTGCGATACAACTGAAAGGAGTATTCATATCATCAGAGATACCGTGTTCCTAAAAACTCAGTTCGTGGCTACTCATGCACCACTCTGAGAAAGCATTTGTATTCTTACAGGATAGACTGCTTCAGCATCAAAATATTTTGGTTTTAATACATTTCAGCACACCACAGTACACTGCAAGTTACACCATCAAAATACATATCCATTGTGAAGTTTCACAGGAAAAATCTTTATACAGTATGACCCTAACCTATCATTAATGTGGTGAACAAAATTCTAATAGACCTAATAGTCTACTATTCAATGCTTGTCTCCCATATTTTTAGCAGAGTGAATGTTTTCTGAACATCATCTCTCTGGGTTTGGTTTTACTGTTAATCTATATTTATATTCACAAAAGTAAGACGGGAAAAAATTCCCAGAGACATCTCCATTTTATCCTTGTACTTACAGTTGGTCTCCTCAGGATTAAAAAAAGCAGAAAAAATAGGATGTCCATTTTGACGTACAAAACTGCTAAAATGAGCTAATCACTTATTCAGGAGTCAAATTTATAAAGGAAGTCTATCGTAGCTAAAGTATCCAGTCTTTCTCCTCAAGTTTTCTTTTCTTTATACTGATTTGCAACAAATAACAGGAGCATATTCTTTCAGACTGCTTTGGAGAAATACTTCAAAGATATACTCAGGCGTGGTCAGGTGGGACCACTGGGATTATCTGTTCTGACCTTTAGCATCCCTGAATTAATTCCTCGTGGGAGTGAAGAGTTTCTTTGGATTTTTTTCCCCCTAAACTCCATTCCTGAACTGATAATAACAGAGAATCTTCTAGCCTTTGTAAATTGTTCCCATAGTTAATTAACTGCCTTCACTTAAAGTATTTGCTTGCTTCTGTCCACAATTCACCTCACTTCCAACTTTCAGTCACTTTTTAGATCTTTGGCTAGACTGAAAACTCTTCTGTTACAAGATTTCTGTTTCCCACACAACTAATATCGGGGAGAAACAGATCCCCCAGCAAACCTGAGTAGTGATCTACAGTAACTAGAGAAATTCTATTGCTTTCTATTGTTTAATAGCACACTGACAAAATGAGGATGTTAACATCATAAATCATGTCCAGACTGGAGCAGAAATTTAGCAAAATCAGATCACATTATCTGTCCAAAATTCCCTGGAAGCTTCTCATCGCTTTCAACAGTTCAGTTTCCTTCTTTTTTCCCTCTCTATGCTTCCTGAACCTGTTTTCAGAAGATCTTCTGTACTAGAAATGCTTGCCTACTGACAGCAGCTGAACTAAAGGAACATATCATGTGGTTTCTCCATCACTAAATGGCAGCACCACCTCATTATTCTATACTGTTTTAACCATGATACTCAATACACTGCAAAAATCTCACTAGTCCAGGATTTATCTAACCCAGTTAGGATAAATGAACATTAGTTCTACTATACTATAGGCAAGATGACTCAAGTAGCAGTATTAATAGGAACCATGAAATAACCATGATTAAAGATAACTTATTATTTCATTAGCCCAGTTAACACAACCAGAACAAAGCAGACACATTCTCAGTT